ATACCAGCATTAACAATTGATATACATCCTCAATATGATGCAGAAACATTTGCTAATGATGTAGCAATAGTAACATTAACAACACCATTACCTGAAAATGATCCACGTATTGGAACAATTTGTTTACCAACTGATGAACTTACAGGTAAAAGTTATCCATCGGAAAAATCTTCTGGAATAGCAATTGGTTGGGGTTCAACAAAATTTGGTGGTCAACCATCGACAGCATTAAAACAAGTTATTCTACCTATTCTTGAAACAACAAAATGGCCATGCAATATTTATGTAACTTATGCTCAGGGACAAATATGTGCAGGTGAACTTAGTGGTGGTTCTGACACATGTCAAGCAGATTCAGGTTAAATTCAAAGGAATTTTTAATTCAACCTTGATCGTTTCTTTTCATATCTTAGGTGGACCATTAATGGTAGAAAATTCAGATGGTCGGTGGGAAATAATAGGTATTACATCATTTGGTAAATCATGGTAAGATTCTAACATTTCAAAAAAATAATTTATTATATTTTTTTTTTTCTAGTGGTAAACCAAATTCACCTGGAATTTATACACGTGTAGATACTTATAATAGTTTTATTCGATCAAGCATAAGCCTCTCAAGAAATGCTCCTTATTATTCTTCTTCTTCCTCTTCTCCGACTTCTCGAATTTATGCATATAATATTCTTTTCAATATTTTATTGATAGTATCATTCTTAATGTGAAATATAATGTTCGTTTTCTTTTTTTTGTACTATGCTGTTTTTTTTTATTATTTGTATACTCGTTCAAATAGACGAAGGTCTTGATCTATATACTATTCGCATTTTCTTTTTCATCATCACATAGATATGTTAGATCGATTGTATATACTTCTTTTATTGACAAAGAAACCATACAACAGTACACTATCATCAAGAGAACGGCGCGAAACTTTCAGGGTCTTTATATACTTTATATTTATATTTGATGCAAATATGAAAATGGGATGGAGTCAAGTGGAAAGTGCAAAAAAGAAAGCATAATATATATAATATTGAGTAGGCATCCAAACTGTAATTAACATATGAAAAAAAAAACATAAAATAGAAAGAAGTATTGTGAAAAAAAAGTACTTTATAATTGAATTCACGCTTCAGATCGATATTACTTTTCGATTATGAATGACATACAGATCTTCGTAAATAAAGAATTCCAGTAGAACAAAAATTTCTTATTTGCTTTCATTTGAGAGATATTAGACTTGTTATATTTGTATTATGCATCCTTCTATCGAATGCTGAAGTCATAAAGTGAAGAATCTGGTAAATTAATGCATACATTTTTAAAATAAGAAATAGCAAATACTCAAAGTATTATTAAGTGATCGTAAAAAAATTTCCAACTTAATCGAATTTAGTATTTTGTTTCTTTTTTTATAATTCCTACTTGAAGAAATGAATCATGATTTGGTTGTAAATTTCAATGAGAATGTATTTCGACAATTCGATATAAATATTAATAAAAATAAACTTGTTTTTTTTTGAAAATGATCAAAATATTATTTAACCTATACTTCAATTCAAATAACTCGTGATAACTATTCAGTTTGTTATGATCAAAGGACGTTTAGAAATTTCTTAAGTAATAAATGAAGTATAAAGTGTTCAAAAATAACATGACTGAATACTTGAAATTTATTATTATAGAAGAGAAGTTCATTGTATAAATGCAGAGTTTTTCTTTTATTAGATATTCAATGTTTTGATTTTTATATTTTAATGTGATAGTTAAAATTATACTCGAACTTTTGAATAAAATTGAAGTTTTAAGATTCTGAAAGAAAATTTTTATTTTGGAATATTTTCCTATTCATTTCTTTCTATAGAATGGTTTTAATCATAAATATCATGATGTAAGTGAGGTTTGTTGTTTGAAAAAGATATTGAATCTTGCTGCAGTTGAATTCGATTCTAAATCAAACTATTACAAATAAAATATAGTTGTATCTCTATAATTAAATTTGTCATCCTGATATAATCGATGGCTCAATTGCCATACTAAAAAAAATAAATATAATATTTGTTTACGTATATAGTCAAGAATTATTGAATGAAATAGAACTTCAGGATTTATCAAACTAAGATAACGATCAGAAGATGAATGTATTAGACGCAACTAAATTCATTTTGAAAAACACTTTCCACGTAGCATTATCATTTATGAATGAATTTCATAAATTTTTTTGGACTGTGCCAGTGAATTCATATGAATGTGAACGACGTTTCTCGTCGTTTAGAAGAATAAAACCTTATCTGAGAAATCGTCTGGGATAGGAAAAATTGTCAGACGTTGCCCTTTTGAATGTTGAAAAAGATTTTAAAATTAGTATTTTTTTTATTTACTTCATGCCAACAGAAGAAAAAATTAAACAAATAAATTATATTAGAAGAGAGACAGCTTCGTTTGTAGTATGAATGTAGGTAATAGTTACGTAGTATTTTCAGAACTTTAATGTCTTGGGATAGCCGGAAATGACTGAAATTAGTCCGAACAGCCTTAGAATTGTTGAATATTGCCAAGAGTATTATGGAATATACTAGAATGATGATATGAGTGAAAGGTTAATTTATCACCTACACCCACCTATTCTTCAGGAAAAGCATGGCTCTACATTTAGAATTTAAGTTTCCTTTCAGAAATAAGAGACGAACAATGTCCTAAAGATCATAATATGTCTTTAGTGAGAACATACATGAGTTCCATATTTTTAGCACCTATGAAACTCCGATGGCAAGCTTTTTTCATTTAAATTATTTCATCTATGTTCGAAATATTGATTTTAACTAAAAAAACTCGATTTTAATTTGCTGTAATTTTCTCATTAATCTCATCCATGATCATTTTTTTGTGGCATTCTCTTTAATTAATAATCAAACTCGAAAACTAAGCCAAAACAATTAATGTAGTTGTTACAGGTGGCTTTGAAGAAAATGTTATTTATTGTTATGAAATCGTCTAAATAAATTGAATAGTTTTGTATATGTCGAATTCTATTCGATTATGATATAGAATTTCATTTAGATATGGAGACTTTAATATTATTTATTGAATTAAGCAAAAAAGAGAAATATTAAAATAAGCAAGATAATTATGCAGAAGAGTGAATCAATAAAAAGCTATGCGTGCATAAATCAATTGCAATATGCACTATTTGTTATAATATGTCCTTTCTTCTATAAAGCTTCAAACTAAACTGCAACGAGATAAAATATGTCATGATTAATATGAAGTTTGCCTGTAATATTTTAGAGTTTCATAAATTTTTGCACACGATCGTTAAATGAATCGCCAATATACATATTCATTGCTGAATCAAATGCGATACCTCGTGGATCATTGAATTGTGTTGCACCACTATTCACGGTACCATCGCCCGCTATGGTAATACCAACATTACTATTGGCACAGAATAATTGAACCCTATTGTTATTACCATCGACCACATACATATTCATATAACTATCTATTTTAATTCCCAACGGACCATTTAAGTGAGTTGAATCAGAACCTGATACACCTGGCACACCAGCAACGAAACTGCCTGATAAAGCACCAGGAGTCCAACGTATAACTGAATGTCCACCAGTATTCACTATAAATAGATCATTACTTATAGACGGTAAATAATGAATACTCCATGGATAGTTCAATGATGCATTCGTATTGTTAGCTCCAATTCCACCAGCTATAAGAACTCCATTAGTACCTGAAGTTGAAGTTGTTGAATAACGCATAACTCGATGATTTCCATAATCAGCAATATACACATATGTTTCCGTTGAATCTAAAATAAGATATCGTGGAACATTTAATTGATTTAATGCCGATCCAGCTGATCCAGTTACACCAGCAATAGTTATTCCGATGTTTGATCCACTACTAAATTTTTGTATTCGATGATTGTAACAGTCACTTACATATATATTCCCAGATCTATCAACATAAACATCATTAGGAAAATTTAACTGAGTACTATTCGGTCCTGGCGATCCAGAAGTTCCAGCTGCAATTGTTGGATTTACAGCATTTTTCAATAGTCTCCATATAACATAATGAGTGGTCTCATCCGTAGCATATAAAGTATCGTTTAAGTCAACAAAGACACCAGATGCTGGTACTAGTGACGATGATGAACCAATTACCGTAATACCCGTTTTATTCCAAAGTAAATTACCAGATATACCTAATAATTAACAAACAAAATCATCATTAATTATTCAGTATTTTTGTTTATAATGTTAGTATCAATATTCATATTACTTTCTTTTCATTATAATGTTTGTAATAATAAATATATAAAATGACATCCGTGTAATCTTACATCATATAATTCTGTCTTTATAAGATATCAATCCAGTATCTATATCTATGAATATTGTTCTCTCCTCTTTTTACGATGATTATCGTTAATTAGGGGAAGAATACACAGCACATATATAAGTGTTAATACAGAGACATTTATAGAGCAAATATAGAAGAGAAGAGAGAAACATACATTTTACTTTGATGTATTTTATATTAAATAGTGTGTAAAAGAATATTAGTTGTGAAATAAACATCAATTCAACACTTAATGGAACGAAATAAAAATCTATTCTTTCAAAATCGATATGACATCAAATAAATATAAAACAAATATAAAGATCTTCCTAAAAGCTACTGCACTAAATATTAGAATTTCAGTTATTTTCGAAAAATTTCTAAAAAATAAATATTTTGAGGAAACTAAGGTATAACTGACTTGAATATCTCTTTACTCACATGGATTTGTTGTTGTTGTAGTTGTAGTGGTAGTTGTTGTCGAGGTGCTTGACGTAGTAGTTTTACTAGTTGTTGTACTTGAACTTGTACTGCTTGTAGTACTCGAGGTCGTACTAGTTGAAGTAGTAGTACTTGTAGTACTCGAGGTAGTGCTAGTTGAGGTCGTAGTACTCGAAGTAGTACTAGTCGA